CCCCCCCCCAGTTTGCACTCAAATCCATTTGTCTATCGTCTCCACTGCACCATTTGTGTCATTTTTCCCCCCTCTCATTTTCTCTGTTCCTTTTTACCCACAGCTCTCTTTCTTTCTTCCTGTCAGTCTTGATTTCTACCTCCGTGCGTGTTCTAATGCCTCGTTCCCATCCTCAGTCAGTGTGTGGGCGTCTGAGCCGTATCTCCAACAGCATCTCAGTATCACGGTGTGACATGGCCACTAGGTGCGAACCCGCTGTAGTCTTCCAGACGCTCCGACCCGTCTAGCCGAGATCCAGACGCCCACTCCACTCATGTTCTGTCACCAATACACACCATGACTGTTTATTTACTATAGGCTGACATCCATCATCATGATTTTTCACTTAGTTCTGAATTCATTTGGCAACTTGCTCTCACATGTGGTCTAAGTAAACAGGTAAATATATAAATATTATACCTGAGCAGTAGCAAACAAGGACATGAACGCTTCATACAAAATGACTTTACCAGCAAAGCATTGCAACTGGGCCATCTAAAAAGCACTTTTAAAAATTACAGTGTAATTTAGAAAGATCAAAGATTATTTGATAACTTCTGCTCTGTTAATTTTGCAGGGTTGCTGTACCTTGTGCTGAAGCATATGGTAGATCGCTATAATATCTACTACGCCTATTTACCCACAAGGCTCAGCCAGCGGATCCATTCGGCCGCCATCAGTCAAGTGGCGGTGGCACCCATTCTCTGCATGTTCTGGCTGCTGTTCTTCTCTGTGCTCAGACTGGGTAGGTTCACACAGGAACATCCTGCCTAATCAAATTTATGGGGCACATGCCCAACAGATTTGACAAAAAAAAAAAAACAATTATATATATATATCTTTTCTATAAAATTTAAGAGCCATGATTGTCACACTTGATCAAGTAAATGCATCCTCAATAAAAGTATTAATTTCTTTAAAAAATCTATTTGACTGGCAGTGTATAAAAATATGTAATTAAACTGATATTGATAGTAATTGTCTAAAGCCCTTATTGGGATAGTTTCCCCAAGAAAAGGATAATTCTATCCTTTATCTACACTAATTCTATCAGTGTATGTAAACGCATACACTGTTAAAGGGATAGTTCACCCGAAAATGAAAATTACCCCATAATTTACTCACCCTCAAGCCATCCTAGGTGTATAGGACTTTATCTTTCAAATAAATCCAATAGTTGATTTGAAAAATCGAGTTGAAAAATGTCCTGGCTCTTCCAAGCTTTATAATGGCAGTGAATGGGTGTTATTTTTCAATAGTCCAATCATTTCAAATAAAGCATATCCATCCACCATAAAAATGTCCCACATGGCTCCGGGGGGTCAATAAAGGCCTCCTGTCACGAATCAATGCGTTTTTGTAAGAAAAATATCCATATTTAAAACTTTATAAACAGTAATCTCTAGCTTCCGCTAACTGTCGTATGTGCGTTCACAATAGAACGCCGTTCGGGTGGATGACGTAGGACGTAGCGTAAGGTCCAGTGAGAAGTGACGAATGGGGAAGCACAGCGGAGAAAGCAAAACAAAACACTGGTCATGAATTAGAAATACAAAATGAAGATTTATAAAGAAAAATGTCTGAGGATTTCGATATAAGCCAAGAGGAGACTGGTTTTCCTTTGCTAAAGTAAGGAAACTTTGCTTCCTTTGCTCCTGTAAACAAACGTTGGTTCTCGCGAGACTGGCATATTCTCACTGGACTTTACACTACGCCTACGTCAGAACAGCGTTCTATTGTGAACATGCGTACGAGAGTTAGCGGAAGCTAGAGATTACTGCAGGGGCGTAGATTATGCGGGGGACGCGGACACTTTTTCGGACAAGTGTGTTCGCATAGCATGGCTGTATTAGATCAAAAGGGTGCTTCTACTAAATACTGAGCAAAGGGTCTGAATACTTAGGACCATGTGATATTTCAGTTTTTCTTTTTTAATAAATCTGCAAAAATGTCAACGATTCTGTGTTTTTCTGTCAATATGGGGTGCTGTGTGTACATTAATGAGGAAAAAAAATTAACTTAAATGATTTTAGCAAATGGCTGCAATATAACAAAGAGTGAAAAATTGAAGGGGGTCTGAATACTTTCCGTACCTATCCGTGCATATTTTCAGTTAGTCAAATTTGTTATTTTCTATAAAATGATGAAAGTATCAGGTTATACTGTACTTGCGTTAAATGTTTGTCGTTGTTAAAAATATAACCAAACCACGTTTAAAAAAAAAAAAACAATACTGCACTCTCAAAAAAAAAAAGGTGCAAAAGCTCTCACTGGGGTGGTACCTTTTCAAAAGGTACACCTTTGTACCTAAAGGATGCATTCTGGTACCTTAAAGGTACAAAAGGCTTTCCTCTCAGATTAGAAAAAAATTAAATAGACAATTAAAACATTACTAGAATGACTGTGTAACCTATGGATGAAAAACAAATGCTCTAATGCCGACATTAGGATGTATGTATTCATGTTTTACTATAAAACGTGTTCACCCCTTAAGACCCCAACTCGGAACAAGACTAGATCACTCAAGGCCTAGATCCAGACCATATCTAAGCCCCAATAGTCAGATTCAGTCTCTCCATTTTAATGAACTGGAATGGGAAAAAAATGTGGAAATTATTGCAGCATAAATTTCAAATACTAAGCCACTTTGACAGTAGCTAATGAGAGCCATGAAAATCCTTGCAAACTCTCTGTAATGGTGAAGATACTTTGCTGACCTTTGCCTGAGGTAATTTCAGTTTTTTTTTAGAAATTGCAGTCAAGACTGTGGTCTTGTGTAAGTATATTTTAAAAAGTACATTTCCAGAACCAGACCCAAACCAAGAGACTAGTAATGAGACCCAGACCCAGACTAAGGCCATGTTTATGTGGTCTTGAGAGATTTTAAGACCAAGACCACAGAGATCAGGTCTCCAGCTCTGTCCCATATAAAAGCAAAACCTCATGGTTTATCTCTTGTGCAGGTCCAGTGCAGCCCATCACTCTGTTCACTTCCATAACTCTCTTGTGCTGTATTGCCTTCTCCTGCTTTGGCTTCTGTCTGAAAAAACTACGACCTGACAGATCAACAAGCTATCAGGTCAGTGAAAAAAACTCAATCTTGATGATTTGTAGAAACATTGTGCATATGGTGGTAAAACTGTAAGTTAATGAGTGAATAGGTTCAAACCAAACTCATCAGAAAAATAAGCAATTATATTTTTGCATTAAGCAAAACTATAGTTATGATTTGTTGAATTGTGACATGGTTTTTATGATAGTTCAACACATTTTCATTTTCATAAATTAACGAGGACTTTGGGCAAAAATGCCACCAAAATTAATACAAAATGCCTCCAAAATTCAGGATATGGGGGCAAAAATGACCCTGTATGAGTTCTTGTTTTTTTGTTTATATATTTATATCATATGATATAGCTAAGCAATATCACACAAGCACCTGCATTTTTTACCAACTATTTTATATTGATTTTATACAGTGATTAAACAAATACGAAGTTAATGTTAAGTGATTTACATTTTGGACCCAATATTGAGGATATTGTCTGTTTTTGCTTTATTTTGCTAATGAAAATTGTTCCAAACAAAGCCACAGCATAACCGTTCTGCCTCTCCAAACAGCACACAGTGGTGTTTTGTTACTAAATGAATCTGCATTTTTAAATGAATTGGTTGAGTGAATGATCCAACGACCCATTCATGAAGATGTATCACCCAGGGTCACCCAGAGTTTGACTCCCAGGGAGTGCATTAACTAAAAATTAATCAAATATATACCTTGAATGCATTGTCACTTTGTATTTGCAGTTGGCCCATCTATGTTTCATCCATAAATACTCCCAAATGTGTACATACATTGACATAGTTGTGTTTGGAAAACAGGAAAATTTATGATTGTTACCTTAACAACTAGATCCTTGTCAACAGTGCAGCCTTGAAAACACTGAGATGAAATTAGTTTAGATGGGCTTTGAAAACAAGCTCTCAAAGATGATTTATTTAGGAAAATAATATCTTCAGGCAGTAAAAACTGATTGCTATTTTGTTTTGTTGCAGATGTCCGATCAGACGACAGAAGGAGGCTTCACTGATGCGGAAAGAAGCACCGTTTCCACCACAACCACAGCTAATGTACCTGCTCATCCAGTCACATCTCATTTCATTCATCACACTATCTTTTCAAGTCCCCCTTATTAAATTTATTTGTCTCTCTCCTCTCATCTCTTCTAAGGCTTCCACTCACAGTGTCAAAGATACTTCACATGTCACATGTTACATAAACAAAAAAAGAAGCTCTTAAGATAATGACACTCTTGCTGTCCATCTATTTACCTCTCGTTCTTTCCCTCCTCAGCTTTTTATAGCCTCCGTCTTGCTGGAGCCAGAGCTGGGCCTGACTCCTATGCCCTCTCCGGCCCACCAGAGCTATGGCACCATGGGGAACAGCCAGAATTCAGTGCATGATGCTGAAGAGGTGGAGGAGAAGGATCTGGAGGAAACTTTGGAAACTGAACTCAAGGATGACCCAGATCCCAGCTGTCTGAGCCCTCTAATGGACAGTCCTGTAGGTTTCCAGTGACCAACCTGCCCCCCGTTCCTACTCCCTAACGCTAAAGCCCCATGCCTCATCTTAGCTAGTGGCTGATTTTCCAAAAACAAAAATTTCCTCTACAACCTCCATTTACGAGTAAAGGACAACAGATTGCAGCCATCCAAGCAAACTGCTTCAAAAAGCTTGCTTGGAATTCACTGACATGGCGGTTTTAGTTCTGAGGACTTTGATGAGCTTTCAAAGAAGTATCTGAAGTGGATAAAAGCACAGATCTGTCGAAGAACGAGATCAGCCACTTCTCTTGCTCGGACTACGCTTTCTACTTTCTTCTGTATTTTTCTTTTCTCTTTAATGACGTTAATGGGTGTCTGGCGGTTTGTTTGACTGAAGCTTGGGACATTGTATTTTGACAGATTTTTCGATGTAATTTTATATGCATAGTCACATTGTATATAGCTTCAAAGAGTTGAAACATCCAAGTCTTATTTGCTTATTATTACTCCTTTTGCTGTTGTTGCAGTTTGTGCTTATTATTGTTATTTTTATTCAGTATTTGTATTTTGGCAATTGTGCGTAATTGTGCAACATTATGTTGAGAGGGCGTTGTTTTCATGTGTTTCCTATTATTAGATTATTATTACTGTTATTAACACCCTCAACCTTTATTGCAGTGTGCGCCAGAGTCAGTCGCTCCCAATTATTGTTTGTTTTGCAGTGACAATAGCAGTTGTGTTGTGCATACTGCAGTCAATTGGCACTACAGTATATTTCAAAGTCAACGAGGCACTCATTCCATAATTTGTTTGTTTTTTTCTTTCCTGTGAAGTTCAATCAGTTGTTTGGTCTGTGGAAGAGATGTGAGAGGGCATTCGAAAGTGAAGCTTTAATATACAGTCAAATTTAGCAGACTCTTCTTAATGAACTGAAAAAAAGTACAAAACCAATCAGTTTGTAGGACAAAAGACAAACAAAAAAAGAGCTGTTAGAGGAATGATCAAAAAGACTATTGGCAGTGTATATTTGACTCCCTCAGTTTCTACATTAACGCACTTAGAGTATGGTCTATGGAGCATTCCAGAGGGTTTAAAGCTCTAAAAAAAAATCACTTATATTAAAGCTCCAGGCAAAATAATAGACTAGGAGCCACTGGCTTCTAAAATGAAACATTGTCTTTTTGTCTTTTTTGGCCAACAAATTATGTAATTGCGGTAACACTTTAGTATAAAGAGCTATTCTCACCATTACCTAGTTTCTTATTAGCATGCCTATTATTAACATTTTGGCTGTTTATTAGTATTTATAAAGCACATATTCTGCATGACCATATTCTACATCCCTAATCCTACCCAATATCTAAACATAACAAATACCTTACTTACTATTAATAAGCAGCCAATTAGCAGTTTATTGAGGTAAAAGTCGTAGTTAATGGTTTGTTAATAGCGAGAACTGGACCTTAAAATAAAGTGTGACAGTAACTGCTATAGCCTATAGTGATGCTTGTTCAGATTCACCTCAGTCATGGAGTTCACAACTTCCTACTTTAGCATTTAATATCAGTAAATATTATGTGCTTTGAGGAAGGGGTGTTTCAGGATAAAGATTATAACGATTTAAGTTATATAGACTACGATTTTTAATAGTTGTATTTAGTACAAATTTCTTTCAGTTGGATGTTGTCACTAAATGTATGCCATAAATATTACTCCGCTTTGGTTTTTTCAGTATTAGGCTACTGAATTGTGATTCAGTGAGAGAGTCAGTTGTGAACTTAGTAGCGGCTCTGAACAATTTCCCAACTAAGTCCGATTCAAACAGCTAATTCAAGAGCGAGCTTGAGGCTGTTACGTGTATCTTTTTGACTTCAAGAACCGAGTCATTTTGTTACGAATTAAACATCCTGCTCTGTGTTGCGTCACGTGCATTAACCATTAGCGCCAGTGTTGCCAGATTGGATGGATGATTTCCAGCCCAAAAGCTCACCAAAAACCAGCCACTCCAACAAAAAAAAGGCCCAAAACTTTAACGGTCAAAATAATGTTATAGAATGTTATTGCCATGTCAATCAAGGTTGATAAGGACCATTTTTAACTCCTTAAAACAAAATAATGGTGACAAAAATAATATAAAAATAGATCAATTTCCCAGGAAAACGGATCAAATCAGGGCAAATACATAAAGAGAATGACCAAATATGACTAAAATATGCAGGCAGACACTATGTCAAAAGAGCAAGAAATTGACTGATACCCTTGAAAAAACACATCAATCATTTTCAATGCCAACAGTCAGAATAAGACAATTTAAATGCAAAAAGTACCCAATATAAGTCATTGTGTTACGGAGAGAACAGAGGAAGCATGCGGATCCATGTGCAGAGCTTTATTCACAGGCGTGGTCACAAACAGGCATGGGTCAATAAACAGCAAACAGACATGAATGAGGCAACACAAGATTCAGCTGTGTGTGTGTAATCAGTGCATTCAGCTGTGTGTGTGTAATCAGTGCAATGGATGATGGGAACTGTAGTCCAGAGTGACATGTAACAGTCTGTGTGGTGTGAGAGTCAATGTAGTGAGCGTATGACCTCTGGAGGTGAGTGAACGGAAGTTCATAGACTGGATTCGTGACATAGCCCCCCCCCAAGGAGCGGCTTCCAGACGCTCCTAACTCATAATCCAGGAGGGCGGTGGAGCGGAGGCGGAACAGGGGGAGGGACGGAGGATCAAGTCCACGTGGAATTAGAGAGACTGGGGACTGAAGCAGAGTAGGCAGAGCAGAGAACCAGGGTGGAGCCGGCAGAGCAGGTGGAGCTGAGGACCACCACAGCTGAGCAGACGGGTCCAAAGATCCCCACGGCGGAGCAGAAGACCACCAGAGCAGGACAGGAGACCACCAAGCCGGAGCAGACAGGACAGAAGCCCACCAGGGCGGAGCAGAAGACCTCCACGGCGGAGCAGATGGAGCAGGAATCCACCAGGGCGGAGCAGACGGGACAGAAGCCCACCAGGGCGGAGCAGGCAGAACAGAAGACCACCAGAGTGGGTTAGAAGACCACCAGACTGGAGCAGGAACCCAAGGCAGGAACTGGGACCTGGGTAAACTTGATAAAACAGGAAACAGACATTCACGGTCTCAAGGACCGAGGCAGGGAACACAAGAAGTTCATCTATAGTCTCCCTGGTGACCACTGAATGGGTAGACGGTTCAAAATCTGGTTCATTGACTGAAACTAGACAGGCAGACAGTTCACAAACAGACTCACTGACTGAGACTGGACAGGCAGACCATTCAAAATCAGTCTCATTGGTCGAAACAGGACAGACATATGGCTCAAAACTAGAATCCTTGACTGAAACAGGATAGATAGACTGTTCATTAGTGGTCTCTTGGGAAATGACAGGGGTAATGGGACAGACATGGAGTGTCTCTGTAGTTTCTGGGCTCATGACAGACAGAGTTAAGAGGTCAAAGGCGGATCTTTGGGTTGTGACAAGGTTACTTGAGCCTTCAGGGAGCTTAGTTAAGGTTTCTGGGGTCGTGACTGAACTTGGGGGGGCAGATAACAGGTTCATTGATTGCAATGGGACTGACAGAAACTTCAAACACATCACTTGAAAGTGGACTGACAAATGGCTCAACGTTAGACTTACAGACTAAAACAGGACTGACAGAAAGTTCAAAATCAAGATCATTAGCAATATTTAGACAGACAGAAAATTTATTAGTGGCCTCTGGGCTTGTGACTTGGCTAGCAGGGCAGACAGAAGGTTCGTTAATAAGTGGATACCACTGACACCTCTGGAGGTTCTGCAGCGGATGCCGCCACCTCTAGAGGTTCTACAGCCGTACCATCAGGAAACAGGGAAAGTTCATGAATATTCTCCTTAACAAAACAGGCACAAAGTTCAGCAACGGTTCCTTCGACCGTGACATGACATGTTGAATATGTATTGCCTGGCGCCACCACCGTGCAAGGAGCTGAAGCGAGCACCACCACCTCGGGAGGTTCTGCAGCGTGGGCCGCCACCTCTGGACCTCTGGAGGTTCTGCAGCGGATGCTGCCACCTCTGGAGGTTCTACAGTAGGACCATCAGGATGCGGGGAGAGTTCAGTAATAGTTCCTTCGACCGTGACACGACAGGTTGAATGTGTGTTACTGGGCGCCACCACCATGCAAGGATCTGAGGCGAGCACCGCCACCTCGGGAGGTTCTGCAGCATGGGCCGCCACCTCTGGAGGAGCTACAGCGGGCGCCATCGCCTCGGGGAACATGGCAGCGTGCGCCTCTACCTCGGAAGGATCTGCAGCATCAGCTGCCACCTCGGGAGACATCACAGTGGCCGTCGCCGTCTCTAAAGCTTCAGTGGTGGTGTACGCAGCCCAAATACACCATAAAGCGATCCCCATTGTGGGAAGTGCTACAGACGGGAAATAGCTCAGAAACTGGAGGGCTTGAGAGCGCTGGTTTAGGGATGCCATCAGGATTGGCAGCTGTGACATAACGGGGCGCTGTTGTGTCCGCCATTTTGTGATCGGATGTGGTGTTGCGTTCCTCCGCGACACCCACAGTGAATGATAAACCAACAGTCATCAAAGCATAATCCATAAACTGACTTAGAGATGAACGCGGACCCTCGTGAATGAGTTTAGACTTTAGCGGTTGACTAATGCCCTCACAGAAAAAGTCTATCAAAACACAGTCCGGCAGATCTGAATAATGAGCAATGGCTAAATACTCTTGAATATAGCCCTTCAGCGATCGTGTGCCCTGTCTAAGGGCTAACAATATTCTTGCTGTATCCATACCTGGCCAATGTCCATCTGAGAAGCCGCTGGATCCTTGTGGGGCAGAGTATTCTGTTACGGAGAGAACAGAGGAAGTGTGCGAATCCATGTGCAGAGCTTTATTCACAGGTCACAAACAGGCATGGGTCAATAAACAGCAAACAGACATGAATGAGGCAACACAAAGAGTATTCCTAGGGCAGGCGTGGGTCATCGATCGGCGAACGTAATCCAGAGGGCTTAACAAAAGGGGAAATCTGTAAACACGAGCAATAGTCAAAGGGCCGGAAAACAGGCAAGGCAAAACTAGACTAAGACTAGGACTTGGAAATAAACAATGGCTAACGAAATGGCTCCGTAACGTAGCTATCACTGACTAGCGATATGCGCATACAATACTCGGCGTTGAATGGTGGTGTGAGACTGATTTATATAGTGTGTGTTATTGGTAGCGTTAGCGTTAGTTCTGGCAGGTCACGTGAGTCAAGCTTGCATCAGCTGATTCTCAGCTGATCACATCTACCTATAGGAATACGACACCGATCGCGGCATTCTTATATAAGCTCTATTCAGTATTAATCAGCAGCTTTTCAGCTTGCTCCGGAGCAAATTACCCTCCTCCATCCCCAGCTCCTCCTTTTGCCACAGTCAGGACTTGGCTTTCTGATAT